ACTTAGTGCCATTTTGTAGTTGTCCTAAAATCACACCAAAACTAACTTAGTTGGCACTAATAAGGTGTTTGACAACTAATTATATGAAATAAAATGGCACATTAATAGCCATTCAAGTAGTCTGGGATCAGGCAACGCTTCAAATTTATTCCTTTCAGTTTATTATTAGTCGATGAATTACATGGCTTAAATTCAATTTTGCTGGCTAATGGAAATCCTGAAAACATTATTGGATGTCATAATGAAGAGAAAGCATCCTTAAGCATGATAGCCTCTGTAACAAAAAGTTATCTTTAACAAACCGCCTTTCGAGAATGATTAAATGATGCAAGTAAGAGCTTAGAGGCTTCAGCCAGCTATCTAGCGCTCAATCTGAGTCACATCCTTCTTCCTAGCCTCCAATAATATTTTCCCTTTCTGAGGTCACCGCCACACGACGAAACCGTATCTGCCACTTTACTTGCAATCATTGGGACAGATATATAGGTAGAACCGATAGACTGTTCCATTGTAGTCGGGAGGAACATGTCTGTGAGTGGTTGTTCGGTGCATCATCTATTACTATCTGATAAAAAATTAATATTAGTGACCCTTTTTCAATTATTTCTCATAACTTCAATTCAAGTTTGTTTAATGTGACCGGAGTATTTGGAAAATCCAAAATTATGTATGCGGAAAATGACAGATTTCAAGTCTTTCCTACCCGGGATTACTTGACTGTTTAAAATATAACTTGTTATTGACGTGTCCTTTTATTATATAATTAATTGGTTACCAAACCTTTTTATTATTTTGAACCATGCATGATTGTAGGGAACCATGAAGTGATCCCATTTCCAAATGTTTGTCTACTGACCTGATAATTTTAAAAATTAGCTTATGTCTTTGAGTCATGAGAATGGCTCTAGAAAATCTTTTACTAAGTAAACAGGTCACAGAATCCGTAAAATTATGTAATATTCCGTGTTATCTACTAGTCTAGATTAGTTACCATCAGTAAAATATTTATGCCTGAAAATGTATACAAGGGAAACAAACTTTTAACCTAAACTAATGTAACATATTTTTCAAATATTGGTTTGCAAAGATTTGATTGATCACGAAATGACCTCATTTAGGAAACCACGGAAAACCAGGGATTACTACACAGCTGTTTCATCTCCAAAAGTAATCACCCATTACCACGCCAGGGATCGAACCTAGGACAATCAGGTTACAAGATGAGCTCGAAAATCATCCAGCCATATGGGACGAATTCCATTGGCTCATGAATTCATACTTCTGCCAATTTGAGATCTATAGCTCAGCCAGCAACCCCATTGACCACGGCTTCTCATCAGAACTTCAGGCAACTTCATCGTATAGTTAGTTCGTCATTAATATATGCATTAGATTAATCCTCAATTGGTTGGCTTGCAGGAATTTGATTGGTCTCAAGACTGATATCTTCATCATAAGAATCAATCATTTAAGGTAATTAGTAGTTAACATCTTCAAGTCAAACAGATTTTTAAGGTAACCTCAATGTTTCCCACTCTTAGTTTTTTTAAATGATGAACTAATAATAAAATTAAAAAAATTTAATTCATAATTATCCTTCTTTCCAATTGTATTATTGACAAAATTGTTTATTTAAGCATGATAAGGTAAAGAATTACAATGGTAACAGGGAATGCAGTTCAGGTAAGAGTGATAATAATCTGAACTTATCTCACTCCTGCTTATCTCAATCCACACAACCATCAGTGTGGATGAAAGGTACAGATTTTTAATTTATGATTTTTGTATTTTCACTACTACCACTAACACTATTACTAATAATTAATGTTAGTAATACTAAATTATATGAAGCATTATGAAGGTATGCTAACACAACTCAATCAACCATTGTGTATATCACATTATTCTAGACTTTTTGTGTGGGTTTTTATCTCTTTTGTGAGCAATAAAATAATTATTTCCCACAAAAGATTATAAAAAAATTCTCTATCATCACTATCTCCAAGGCAATAAAAGGTAGGATTAAAGTTAGAACAGTCACTATTTATCATTACGGGAATAATAATATTGGTTTTTTATTTATTTATTTATTTTGTAATCAGGTATAACAGATGTATAATTGAATTACGTACGGTAAGATTATCATCTCTGTATCTCTCTCTCTCTCTCTCATTTTACGAAAACATTTCAGTAATTAAATTATTACTTTCTACGGTGATAGGTAAGATGTGAAGTATACGTTGGAAAATGGAAAACTAATTGACTTCACTTTGATTTATGATATAGTTGGAAAATTCTATAATAATAATAATTAATTTAATTAGAAGTTGAAGAGTTGAGAGTATTTTAATGGATAGTATGATCAAATTTTAATACAAAGTGATATACTACTTATAACACTAAAGATTTATGAAGTAGTGGTTAGTTGAAATTCTATTCAAGTCGGATCACGAACTGACAAAGACTAAAGAACCGCTGAAGGCCAGAGGGCACTGGACATCCGTTTTCTCCCAGTTTTGGGACCCTTCAGAAATACGCATCTATTACCGAACTGGGGGATGGAATCTAGAGTCTTCCGATTACGATGTGAGCCTATTAACCTACCAGCCTTTGAGAAGGAATAAAGCTTCTGTCAATTCGCAATAGAATCAATCCCACTGATCAATGGAAATTGTTTACTGCAGATAATATTTAGGGTATGAAATTGCTACCATATGACATCACTTTTCCTAAATGAAGACTTACAAATATAACATCGGTGTCAGCTAGTTTAGTTAATAAAAGAAACAGTGAAATAGTCAGAATATTATCCTACATTAATTTCAATTTAGAAGTTAAAAGATCTTAATGCAAGGTTCCACAGTCTACAGTTTGACATAAATTAGTATGATATTCACGTATTTCCCTTCTTGAACTTTGTCACATTCCTCATATTTGCATAAATTTCTTTTTGAAATTACTTTCATACTTCAAATTGAACTCATATTTTTGTTTTATGAAGCAGTTTTCAAGGTCGAATTTAATGTTTTGTACATAACATTATAAACTTGTGAGCACGCTAAAGTCACGGGCACCATTTTTTCTAAACTGTATCCTTATTATTTTGGGATTGAAAGGTATTCACTGAATCCGAAAGCAAACATAGCACTGATCGTATGTAAAAATGTCTAACCAGGAAGCATATATAAAACATTAAAACAATTTTTGGTTGATGATGATGAGTAATTAATTCCAGGGCACGAGTTCCATCCTTCTTCAGCCTTAATGGACTGACTGACAGCTAGCGAAATCCCAGCAGGGATACAAAAGGCTTGTTTTGGATTTGTCAACCTACATCATATCTGACATAGACGTAATATCCGGTTATCCATCGAAAGATGTGTGCAGTGTACAGAAGCAGTTTGCTCTATCCTCCTAGTGGTTGTAAGTAATGGCCATTGAAAATGGAAGATATGAAAAGGCTGGCTGTCTCTGACCACAGATGCATGAGTTCTATCTCCCTTATTACGTGGTGAGCAATATTGAGGTTAAGCATGGCGTTAGGCGAAGAGGCAAAGTCACTCGATGAGGTTGTGATGCTGCATACATTGAGATGGTTAGGATACGCGTCGTGAATGCCGAACTACCGCTTTGTTCTGCAAGCAATGTTAGCTAACATAGGATTAAGTTAGAAAAGAGTTAGGGGTGGTTAAACTAAAATCTGGCATCAGTCCATGAAGTCTTTGATAGTTGGTTTGAGCTATGTAGGGAGGTATATACTGCCTCAGGATGCTAAGAATCAGTGGGTACATACTATTCGTGATATGGGTCAAAACCGTTATCAGTGGCACAGATACATCCAATCTTCATGATACCCCATATGCATTAAATCTCCATGTGTTTCCATGTTACTTTTCCTTCTCCCAAACATTTCCACCCGTTTTAGGTGTTTTAAATCTCCTTAACTATGTGTGGTGCATTTTCTCCCCATTCCTCTATGTTCCTACTGGAACATAGGGCTTTAAGCTAGTGACTTGAAGTTTCGGTGGCAGTGGTGTTTATTTTTATGGTATGGGGTTGCTAGCCTCATGCCCAACCTTCCCTCTTTACCAGTCTTATTACTGGCTTATAGAGGTAAATGAGTGCGTCCGTGGGCGGGGATGGAACCTCGAACCACATGAGGCGTGGTTAGCGAGCATTCTATGGCTGTGCCACCGACGCTGCATTTATGGTGCATGGAGTGTGGCAAAGTTCTCTGCTGAAACTCAGTCATTTAGTTTCATCCTTCCTGGGGCTCATGAACTGGATGTACCTGTATGCCGAGTCAATGAAGTTCACAGAGACTTCAACCAAAAATATGTCATTCCAAACTCCAGAACATTAAACACTAGGTCACTGGGTCATGGTAATCATTTTTTTGTGCAACAGGTATCAATTGTTATTTGCTAATTTCCCATTGAATGATTTTATGATATTTTAAATGCACCATCTTTGTTTACATGTCTGTTCTTTGTATGAAGGTTTCAACGACGCCATCCACCATGAACCAAATGATATCTTGTCAACCTAGAAGCATTGTCGAAGTGTTAGTACAAGGAGTGGGTATGTCAACATTGTTTAAGCAGGATCAATGAAAATAAGATAGACTATGGTGAAATGTGTTGCCTCGACACTTTTGAAATGCTAAATGAAACACTTCATTACACCAGCCAAAAAACAAAACAAAAGATGAATGTATAAATTGAAATATGATCATTCCCCAAGGTGTTTATAAGGAGAACTTAGCTGTTTGTTTTTGCAGAAATCGTTTATGAGAGCGAAATCTTTTTACTATGAAAACTTAAGTTGTTGACAACCTGTCACCCTTATTTACTTTTTATATATCATGTACTATATTACATTTAGCGTATTCAGCATTCTTAATAGAGTGTTGTGGCATTATATTATTTAAACGTATGCACCGCATATAAGTCAAAGGTTAAAATTACAATAAACAAATGAATAAACTATCATGTACTTACTATCACTTTGAAAAAATGGATTACAATCGGACTGTGGAAATTTCAATGTAATGCCTTCGCCAGATATGCATTCACTTTCCATAACTCCGTAAATTTCCGATTCACAAAGCACCTTTATACATAAATAAACCGAAAAATGGTAATGATTAAATAATGAAATTTCAACATCGTTCGTAATTAGTTAAATATGAAAACCTTTTAAGTGTGTATTATTATTATTGTTTCCTTTAGTTCCTAGAGGAACATAGGGCTTCAGCCTCACGTCTTTATTGCGTTCCGTTCTCCACCAACGTTTTCACCTGGCTCCACGTCTGCTCACATGCTTTCATCTCCTCTTCACATGACCTCCTCCATGTCATCCTCTCACTGACGACCGTTCGGGTTCCACTCGAGCAATGGCCTGGGGTGTGATGTCACTTGATGGTTTTCTCAGAGTATGGCCAACTTAGCTCCATTTCTTCCTGCATATTTCTGTCGCTCCCAGAGATCCCTGTTGCTGATCTTTTCTGGCCGTCTGATCTTGAGTGGTATTGAGCGAAGACGGCTGTTGATGAAGGTCTGTAGTTTGTTTGAAGTGCCATTCGTGACACTCCAAGTCTCTGATTCGTATAGTAAGTAGCACTGACTTCACACTGGAGTTGAAAATCCGGATCTCGTTTTTCATGCTTAGTGATGCTTCTGATCTCCACACAGACTTGAGAGTAATGAAAGCTTGCTTGACTTACTTTCTAAACTGTTTCACAAGGATCTTTCATTTCCCCTCTGCTATTCAAGATTCTGTGATGCAGATTGAAGGGAAGCGGTCGAAACTGAAATTAGCATTTTAAATCAATGACTGGAGAGGTTGAAGTGTCTGAGGCAGTCTGAAATCACACGACCCAATGGTGACCCGTATCCATCATTTTTCTGTACGGTGTGTTAGTGAGTTTGAACTAAATGCTTAAACCAAATCTAAGCAGTTCTTTTATTTAATGGATTGGAACACTATTATCTAAACCGATATCATCAGTGGAGCTACATAGTTTTCGTCTCATATGACGGATATTACCTGATTAATGTAATCTGAAGTATTGATAAAAACAATAATAGAGTATTTTTCAGGACAGATCAGTACTGAATCTTCATGGGATTTCACTTCAATTGTTTATATATCTGTGTGGTGACTGACTTTTTCTATCACCATACTGCATAAAAGTTCACTGTTGTTTAGTTTCACTTGGTTGGCGGTATGTAACGGTGGAATCCAAGTGCACGTTTCCTCTCATTTAGGACTTGTCAAATGGATGTATTTGCATTCTCAGTAAGTGATGGTGTTCCCAGGAAGACCTGAACCCACGCATTGTCCCGAAGAACAAAGAATCATCCACCAGGTTACTGGATACACTGTAAATAATCAACATGAATGATTCTGTCGAATAGGGGTTTTCGAATGCTTTTCTCTCCTAGTTGTCCTCTGATTTGCCAGCATTACAAGGTATCCTCAAAGTCTACTTTTCCCTCAGTGCTTAAACAATGTGAAATGGTTAGTTAAAACTTTGACCGAATTGAACATAATCCGTGTCAGTTACTAAATCTGGTTGGAGGATTTCATCATGAGCTGATATCAGTTAGAGAACCATTGGAAAACCTGCAGGGAGTACTGGACAGCTGCTTTGCCCTAGTTTGGGACTCTTCATCGGTACTCACCCACCAGGGCTCGAACCCAGGACCTTGTGGTTACAAGGCGAGCTCGTAGACCATTAAGCCACTGGGACCCGATCAAGTACAATCATTTTGTATACCAGATATGAATGAATCATTGCGGGAACCTCAGATCTAATTATGCAACCTAACAACTGCATTCATTCTTTATAATGATCTAACTTATAAAATCCATCTGTTCCTTGCATCATCCCGTCACGATCAGATTCAGAAAATAAAACAAGAACCGATGAGGAAATCAAATATAATTTTTCGTTGAGTGTTACTGCTCCTCAAAAAGTCGCGTACATTGGTGAATTGTTGTGGTAATGATTTTTACACTAGATCTTCAGTTTACGAACAGAAAGTATGTAGTGATGTTGTAAAAGTCAGAGTTAGGAATAACTAGCCTCTGACGAAAGGCGTCGGTGGCACAGTGGTCGAGTGCTCTCAACCACGCCTCATGTAGTTCGGGGTTCAATCCCCGGCCACGGACGCACTCCTTTACTTCGTCAAGGCAGTAATAAGACTGGTAAAGAGGGGAGGTTAGGTATGAGGCTAGCAACCTCATACCATAAAAATAAATACCACTGATACTGAAACTTCAAGCCTCTAACTTCAAGCCCTATATTCCACTAGCAACGTAAAGGAATGATGATGGTGATGAGCCTCTGACGACAACTTGAACTTTCACTAAGAATTCTACAAGTAAACACTACATTGAATATTGTATAAGACTTAAATAGAGAGCTTCTAAGAAGTCTTAATTTGGTGTGACATAATTCCATAGCTAATAGGATCCTTTTAAGTAATTCTCAAGGCAAATTTCAAGCAAAAAAAAACAACAAAACAAACAAACTTTATCAGTCGTTAAATCCACTGTCTGACTAATTTGAAATCCACCTGAAATTGGACACGCTTTTGTGCCTGGCCCAGAATTTAATGGCAGAACTGAAATAAAAAGATTAGACAAATATTAAAATCGGGTAAAAAAGGTACACAGCAAAACGCTTTAAATCAAAGAGTTATTGCATCAACTTGATTTTATTAATTTATCTGCAGTTGGTTACCCCATATCAGTGGCTTCAAAATAGTTTTATCAACAGTGGACCTCCTCCTTTTGACTACTTAGCAGTTGGGATTCTTAAAAATAATAATAGATCGACTATAGAATGACAGTATCCCATCGAGGCAGGATTTGTCGAGACAATTCAAATCTCTAGCTGATATACATAATTTACAGGTGTCATATATATTCAGAAGCTGATAAATGCCAAAGAAAATCACAATCATGGTCTCCTCCAGAATGCAAAGACCTTACAGAGACTTATCTTTGCAAAGGATTTAATCTGTTTGATAAGCTGCAAACAGACGAAGTATTCATTGGAAAAGCTCAATCTCTTTGTGTGATAGTGTGAAAATTGATTGGGAATTTTCTCTCCCCCTTTCAGGTATAACTTATGACTTCAGAACTTATTCATGCTATCATCATATACAATAATTGGCACATAAAGGGTTTGAATAAGGCATTAAGAAGACGAATTTCGCGAGATGATATCATTTCGTAGTTTCTTTACAACCGCTTTACAACTAACATGGTTAACAATAATAAAATAAAGTTCATGACAATTACTCAGTTAAATAAAAAACACAAAAGTACATAGCAATGACCAATCATATTTAGATAGGTCATGTAGTCTAGGGTAGGCGAAGATTGAAGTCTATTGATTTTTCTACACACAGTTTAGGCTGGATGTGATTAATCCAAAGTGCCTTCATCACCTTCAATAACCTTGAATTAGAGTTATGTGAAATAATTGTGAAAGTCATTAATATTGATTTAGTGACCTGACACTAATAAGTGTTTTGCAATGGATGATGCTGGATTTCTATTAAGATTAATCGCGTTGGGATTTTCTATATGATTTAGTAACCATTTTGGAACACGTTCCTTCCGACGACATTGGAACATTCTGTTGGTTCTACCTATATAGGTGTCACCGCAGCTGCAGGTGAACTTGGTTATTTGCTTCCATAATCGATAGTATTGGCAGGAGTAAGTGAAATGTTGAACTGATAACAAACTTTTCCCTGGTCTTTGTTTATTTACCTTACTTACAGGGATAGTATATCATTTTTCTACTCATCACTAGTCAGATATTCGCGAATAATTACACAACTATGAAGCTTCGTTAAACGTTAAATGATTGAAATGTCTTAGATGGACCACTTTTTCACATCTGTCGGAATTAAGTCGCTTGGGTTAAAGAGATAAAGGTTGTAATAACGACTGAAAGCATTCTCTGTTAGAATTTCTCTTCTAAAATTGTTCAAGTCAAATAATATAAAGTTGTGTTATGTGTAGACGTACCTGCAACCCATTTTGTTGGTTTTGTAATAAACGCTTCTGGATGACACAAGTCTGCGTCAGGTGTTGAAGATACAAATTTGCCTAGTCAACAGAAAAATTAACAGTAAATGTCTATTTGAAGTAAAATGAATACTTAACAATTTCAAGAAACATATTCAGTTCTTCCACTGTCACATGGGTCTTGCTTTGCTTCCAAAGACCGAAAATAACCATTGTGTCATGTAGAAAATAAAAGACGGTTCAGCAAAGTAGACTTTTCTTACAGAATCCAACTTGAGATGTTATACAGTCGTATTTATATTTATCCGAACGTATAGAAGCCTGCTACTGAGTAACAGAGGGTGTGATGCAACTTATGCTCCAAGCCGAACTTAAGGGGCCAGTAATATAATAATATAGGTGGTACACATACTCATAAGTGGTATCTAAAGATCGGAAACAACTAAAAAAAACAATTGCATAATTGTCGGTGACAGAATTGAAATGAGGCTTTGAAATTTGATAGGAATGAAATTGCTATCAGATGAAACACAAATTTGATAGTGTGAGTAAAAATGAGAACATAACAATCATATGCACTATTACTCACTAGACTGCTATTCGTCTTAGTAAATTTAAGCACCACTGTTTTAGCCTTTGAAGCTAACATAGATAGAAGAAATGTTCTTTGCTGGATCGCCTTTTATCTCCTTCAATTTCTGAATGAGTGTCTTCCTAATGAAATTTCACTTTTGGCTTGTATTTATGGTAGATATACGGAAATTAGCAAGATCGACGAATGGAGACGCATGGCTGAAGCTATGTTCCTCTAGGAACTAAAGGAAATAATAATAATAATAATATGGTAGATTCGGTTTAAGTTTACTGTGAAGCAGATACCGCAGTAACATAATAAGTGCTGTGTTTGCGCGCTATAAGATGAACCTTCTTCATTCCATGAATGCATGGATGAATAGTCATATGTTCACAGACCAGACTGGAAGATTACTCTGATTTAAATTAACATCAGTATCATTATTGTTCCCCTGGGTTTCGAGACGAACACATCGCTTCAGAAGAACAACTAATTTGAATGCTGTTCTCTGCAGTTCCCTTTAACTGGCTCCGCAGTCGCCCATAAACTTTCACTTCCTCCTCATAATATCTCCTCCATGTCCCATTCAGGTTCAACTTGAGGACCTGACATGCTATTTCATTCAGCAGTCTCCTCAGCTTGTGTTCAGTCCACCTCCTTGGTCTTGGTTGGTTCGTTATCAGAGTTCCTTGTGGCTCATTATTTCTTCATTATGGAACGATAGCAACTGTTGATGAAAGTTTGTAGGAGCCTGCTGAAAATGCTTTTCATGACGCGCCAATTCTCTCGACCCAATGGAATCACGGATTTGACACTGGTGTTGAAAATTAGAATTTTGTTCATTATGCCTAGTGAAAAAAGACATCCACACTTTTTTCCTCTGTTACTAATCTCATATCTAAACATTTTTCACCACATCTATAAGCACTGATCCTACTGGCTTTTTCTAAAATAATCTTTTGTATCAACGAACATCATTTAAGGGTCATCTGAAACTAATGTAATGACTTCCTTTAATTCTTTGTAGATCTGATCTACATCAGTCTATATATTAATTGCAGAATTACCTGCATACCAGGCTTGGCCAAAAGATAAAATATGAAATCAAAATCTGTTCAATATCAGTAATTGTCAACACGAGGATGGGAAAACCTCCAGAGACAACCTCTTATGTTCAAGGTCACCAAGAGAGACCATTGTTACATTCACGTGCGAACCCAAAAGCCCATTTTATCTCTAAGCTGGCGTTGAAGATGTTGTCTAGGAAGAGAATTAAAGCTTCACGATGGAACCGTAAAGGTTACAACAACATCCCAAACGTTCACTTGACCAATAAACGTTCTCTGTAACTTAAGTTCACTTATCCAGCACAGTAATTTTGTCATGATAAGACAAAGTGATGCCTAACAACTTGCATACAAAATATCTCTGTGTAACATCGAAATGGCTGATGAGCAGCAGTGGGATCCAGGATGCGCTTTCCACTCAACTTGTGACTCATCAACTGGACGTACCTGCATTTCCCAGTGAACGATGGTGTTCCTGCTTAAAGTCAAATCCAGTCCCCATCCTTTCAAATACCAAAGCATTAAATACTAGATCACTTTGGCCACGAGAACCACATCTTGTGCGCCAAATGTCAGTTATGATTTGCTTTTAATTTAATTCTGATTTTTCATTTTACTGATTGAACCGAAATGTTCGGCTTTTGTTGACCTAAAGTCGAACCTCAGTGGGGATACCACCATTCAATGATGAATGTAGTTACATCCAGTTGACGAGTCCCAAATAGGACCGAATGCACATCCTGGATTTCACTGTTAGTCATCACCATGCAAATCACTTCAAGTTAATCGTCAGACATCGTCGAAGCATCAGCACAAGGAGCCAGCATGTCAACAGAGGCTGAGAATTTCAGTCCGGTCAATCAAAGCGAAAATCAAGATTGAATTCAATACAAATAATTTATGTAACCTTATTTAAAACACAATATGGTTAAATGTATTTATCTTACACTAGTGTAAAATAGTAAAATTTTCGCAAAAAAAATGAAGTGAATGCAACTCAGGTACTTCATAAATTTATGTTTAAATATTACCGTAAGTGATACATAATTCCTATTCAAAGTAACAATGCCAGGCAACTACTGATTTTATCAGAAACATTACTTCTTATTACTCAAACTTTGTGACCACTAGTTTTTCTTAGTGTTATTGTTTTTTTCTCACTAGCGGATGTTATGCTCTGTTATCATATGGTGCTTGGAGCAATTTACACATTCATAATATTCCACTGTTAGAAACGTTTACGTAGAAAGTTATTTCCTATAATCAAAGCCGACGAAGTAAAACATCTTAAACTGTTTTTCAGTTAAACAAAACTTGTTGAACATTGAAAATTCAGTCTGGGTGGTTAATTTGAGTCAGAAAACAGAAAGAATGACAAACAATGAGTTCTACTGAATTCAAACAAAGATTTTATAAGCCTATGGCATGCAATGATATTCTTAACGTTATTTTTAATGGCTTAAAATCTACCAAATCTTCACCATAAAGTAAGGTAACAAGTAGGTTTGAGTACTAGTGATGCAGATTCTGAATAAAGCGATCATTAGAGTAACAGCTCTACTAAATCAATGCCTGAAGAAAAAAATAGCATTTCCGGGAAAACTTTATACAGTGCCTCACAGTTATTACAGATACCTCTTAAAACAGAAATCTCAAAAATTACTGGCACAGCACTTTTCAAATAACCACAAAGATTGTAATAGTGATAATTTCTATTCATTTCAGGTGAAGTTTTAACTCACGAACCTTATTTTTAGATGCAAGAGGAGACAAGGTGTACCTGAGACCTACTGGTCCTTTAAAAAATCCCCGGCATTTATCTTCCAAATGACTTTTATGCTTATTTACTGCTACTTCTAAGATTCCGCCCAACAAAAGGTAGTATTAGCGTTGTTTTTGACTTTACGTGTTATATTTTGCTTTAGGTAGTCAGTATTTTACTGTCATCTGATATTACAAGTTCACCAATTAATATTCCTTCGTCTTTCTATTAAATGTTTTTTTTTCTACCATAACTTCAATGCAACTAGAAGTCAATCATTATATTCTCTTGTCTTTTAGATGTTTTCCTATTACGATTTAATTAATAAAGTTTCTTTTAAGAAATAAGCTTGTTAACAGGCATACACCTTTCAATAATGAAATTATACGTGAGAGAAAATAAGTATTCATCTAGTACCTACTGAGAATTGATCGAAAGTACAGTTTTATTAAGCTCTACCTTACCCTAAGGAAGAGGAATGTAATTACTGCACAGTGTTATTACTACGTATATTATTATTACTACTACTAATGTAGTCTTCCAGTGGAAATTTGTCTATGATTTAGTTGTAATTGCTAGTCAGCTTATTTTTACAAGATATTTCATAAGTAGACACTATTCTGTTGAAATAAAATATTTAGCATAAAGAGTATTACCAGGTGTTGGATTTCAGGGATTAAACTGGTTACGGGATTGATCAGGAGCTCAAGTCAGTTACAAGACCATTGGAAAACGAGGTAGTACTAGACAGCTGTTTTGTTCTAGTCTGAGACTCTTCACAGTAGGCACTCACCGGCGATCGAAACTAAATTAGGCAAGAGGACAATTATTCGCCTGTAACATTAGCTGGCGGCGTCGCTAAGTACCGTGAACTGGCAGAGGATGACATTCATTGACCACTGATTCGGGTCCCTTGGAAGTTCTGGGGTGGAACCCTAGTGGGTTCCATACTACTACTAAAGAGTTTGTAAACAGGATAAAGACTATTGTCGTAGAAGACTTTTCTAGCATTTATTCTAGCAATTATGTATAAAAAATTAGCGAAATTTTATTATCAGATTAAGACTCACTGAAAAATAAATTGAAGACAGTTGCTGAATCATATTCATTCATGGCTTCAAATTTAACGCACTGATATACTGATCTAAAAACATAATTTCAAAATATTAGTATCATAATTTTACTAAATTAAATTATGTAATTTTGACTACCCTATAAACAACAGTATATTTTATAGAGTGATCTCGAAGACTAGCGCTGAAACTTAAACTATTTTAAGCTTTTCCCAAGGCATTGATTGTGCTTGAAACTACTCACATGTAATTACCATTGAAGTTCTTGAAAACTCCATATGAGACATTTTAACAAGTATATCTTGAAAACTGACTGAATCTGTTTCTTTTTTTATTCTGATCGATACGCAAGAAATACATTGATACAGGCTTATACGTAACTTATGTTTTTCAATAAACGAAGGCATTATTATTATTCACTTAGATTCCGAGTGAAATGTAGGGCTTCAACAAAACATCTGTATTTATCCTGTTCTCTTCAGTCCTCTTCAGCTAGTGCAACGATTGCCCATGAGCTTTTATTTCCTCAGTGTTACCCTCAGAGGTCCAACTCATCGTTTCCCATTCGAGTTCCTCTCGAAGGTATGTCGTGTGATGTTACCCAAAAGTCAGATTCATCTCCACTTCCTGTTGTATATTTCTTGAGCAGTAGGTTCTTGATTGGCTTGTTCAAATAGTGTCTTGTTGCTAGTTCTTTCTGGCCATTTTATAAGAGTCTGCAGTAGAATTTTAGAAATGCTTTTCGTGACGCGCAGTACAACTTTCTCTCTCATGTAGAAGAAGTGACTTCACATTAGTGCTGAAAATCCGAATCTTGTTCTTTATGCTGTGGAGTACAGAAGATTTCCAAACTGATTTCACAGTGATTAAGGTGTACCTTGGCTTTCCAATTCTGGCTGGTTTTGACACATTCATCCATTCCGCCTTCTATTGAAACTATCCCTCCTAGATAGTGATTAGTGCTTGTTGTGGTTGGTTGGTTACTTACATCACCTCAGTCTTATGTATATTCATCTGAAGTCTTGTCTTTATTGCTCGCCTCTTCCAACAATTTGTTGGTTTTCTCCTGTAAGTCTTCGAATTTATGTGACATTAGACACAAGTTGTTCACGAATTCTTCTTATGGGTCCAACGTATTTCTGTCTATCCGCTCCCCATTGTCTGACTCATAATCCAGTCCCTCACAATTAGGAATACCATCGCTAACAGTAGCCAACATTGTTATAATTCTGTATCTACTTCACTTCCACTTGAGACGTGGCATTGTCATACACGTATTGAATAAGGTTGATAGGGATTTGGGGCAGTAGTTTCCAAATTACTTCATGGTTAACACTGTCTGTCGAAGGCCTTTTCGAAGTCGATGAAGCTAAAATGTAGGTTTGACCATTACTCTATTCTACGTTCTATGATAATGGGTACAGTCACAATTTGATCAGTATACGAATCGCTTTTCCTGAAGCTCCTCGTTGAAGCATCCGTACTAAAGGCCGCCATGTCATTAGAGATCGAAAATTTTCGTCTAATATAATCATTTAATGAGAGACACAAAATTAACTTCTTTATACAAAGAATACAGTAATTTCTTTGCATTTCTTACTTACCTTTGTATAAAATTTGTATACTGTACCAGATAAAGATTTTTATCAAATTGCCATGAACATGACATTGTAAGATAACCGACAGCTGGTGGATATTCATTATTTGAAGAGTTGTCATTCTCATAATTATTCGTTGAATTCAAACTATTCTGGCCAACAGTGCCGGGGCTGTTAGTACTAGTACTACTAACACTGCTGCTGTAAGTAGTCGTATCGAACCAGTAGGTATAACTATCTCTTGCATATTTTTTGCTACTTTCCTCATGAACACTACTACTACTACTACCACTATGAGTAGCATTTTTGTATGTTTTATATCCTTGTGTATTACAAACCTCCGAAAACAAATCATTCAAAGTAGTGAAATAAATTAAATCTTTAGCGTATAGAATGTGATAACATGAAAAGAAAAGCCAAGCATGCTGTGAGTCTTTTGTAAATGCCATTTGTAACCAACCATACTGTAAACTCTGTAAGTTCAGTTTGTCATTGTAGAGTTCTTCAGGTAACTTCAGTAAGTGGGATAGAAGCATCTTTTCATTTTTCTTGTTATTCTTCCTCTTATTATTATTATTATGAAAACTGGATTGGAAGTCTTGATATGATGCATTGATCAGACCATAATTTGTCATCCATATTGAATCAGGTGAATGTTGTATGAAATCTGGATAGTGACATTTACTTTCAACTGTCCATACTGTATAGTTGTTTAGTATGAATGAGCAAAACACTGGATTGGAAAGGTAAAAAGAAAAGAAGACAACACTTAAATTATTAGAAGCAGCACTTTTAAACACTTTTGGTGATCAGCAAATCTAATCTAAATCTACGTCAGCTAAATTCGAAAATTATATGAATTAGTAGTTCTCTTTTACACACAGATCTGCAAAGTGTTACAACAGACATTGCCGACTCATGTTTTTCTAAGAATAATGAACTTTATTTATTCTAGAGTGAAGCCAAAGATTAATGTTAGTTAAAACAAGTAGGAAGTTCGAATCATGGATTTACCGTGTCATTGAATAGAGCTCACAGTGGTTTTATCGCCAAACGGCTAATATCATGTACTCAACCAGCTTTCTAAGCCCCACTGCCTTCTTCACATGTTCAAACTTCGTTCTCATCGGCTTTCTTGACAAGCACAGAACACAGGGGTTCATACAGATTTTGAAAATTTATTGGTCATTTCTTAGTTATAATCATTTTGATCTATTTAATCAGTGAGGAGATCAAGGACAATAGTGAAAGGAATGCTGATATTACACAAGTTTGGTGAGTTGAAGTCGTTAGTTACTGAAATATTAAAATTTAAGAACCGATGTCTCTCCGCTGAAGTTTAAAAATGACTACTTTGGTGTCAGGGAGGTTTAAGATTAAATGATATTTATAATTCCGCAAAAGGATTTTGCAAATACGTAAATTATATTATTTTGTATAATTGGGTTCACCGGGTTTTTTAGCCTACAGAGCTTCTCTCTGAGTGAGTTTGTATGTTTGAATGCCACTCTAATTCCTGCTTTATTGAGAATCCTATGTAGGGCCTCAGATGTTCCCGCCTTATACGGGAAAACTGTAGATGCCTTATATTCTTTCTTATTCGTGTTATCATTATTAGTTTCCCCACTATTTTTATTTTGCTTTCGACCTGTTTTGATATTCCTAATGAATTTTATAGGATTGTTATTTAACACCAAAATACCTTGCAATGACTGTGAGTTAGGTCAGCTGCATAAGTCAGACTAGTAGATCAGGAGTAGTGAGATTATCAGAACACAAGAATTTAGCTAAGGTTGAAGTGATTGATCCCACGAAGACAAGAATTTAGATAAAAAACTCAGAAGTCGCGATGCATGCGTTAACACACAATCACGCAGTAGGGTAGGGCAGAGTCCAAATTCTAAAGAGTAATATAGGTAGGTGGGGAGAGAGAGATTGATTAATGAATCCTTTCTGGTTCATCGAGTCTACACCCAACACATGCAATAGAAATAACTCAATGCAAATACCAGAGATATGGAAGATATTATTACTAGTCAAATCAGAGGACAATAAATAATGTTAAGATGTATTTCAATTCACATTATAACAATCTAACAAGTTACTTATTTTTATTATGAAAACATCTTATTTCCCATAACGGAGTTATACTCTACCACAATGCCCAAGTTTTATACTTATATCAATTTCTACTTCTTGAAAATATGAGAGTACGTAAAGATGAAATAAATACAAACTTAGTTCATTTTATTTCGTGGTTTTCCACATATGTACCAACTTCAAAAGTCTGGAATTAGCAAATAATGCAATTTAGTGAGGTTATTGTATATATATATATATAATGGGAAAATATTGGGAGAAATTCATAGAAATTATAAATATTGCAATAAGAATAATGAAGTTCATGACCTAATCGATCAGTACAGGGGACAATTACAAGATGTTTATTAAAAGTTGATAAATGCATATTGTGAGGACGATTAAGGGGGAAAGGCGAATAATAATCATAATAATAATCCGATGTAATAATCATAAAAAACGTGTGATTGTAGAGAATCTCTTATGGCAAAAGCAAAACTAAGATTTAACAGAGGTGATATGATCAGTATATCAAATAATAACAGAACACAAAAAGGATAAACAAACAAAGGAAAAAAAACAGGACTTGAATTCAAACAAATTGTAGACTAGAAAGTGGAATAATGCTTAAGGCTAATAGGCATAACAATAGAAAGATGGATTGAATAACCCAATAATAAATGAAGATCGAGAGAAATAGCAAACGATGAATGTAATGCAAGAGGAATTTGAAAATTGATTGAAGCAGTTTAATATGAGCTAGACGGTTGATAACTGCTCAAATCAAGACAAATCTGTGTTTTTTTGTTGCTTTATAAATGTGGGCCCTAACAATGATGTTCATTATTGTGTGAAAGTATGATGTTTTTGCAGTCTAAACACTCACTGTCAGAAGTTAACTTGTCTGGGAATATTTGGTTACGTTTTGTCGAGTTTTACAAAACAAACAAGCAGACAGATCTCACAATTAGGTCTAATTCTTTTAATACTATTTCATGAACGGCTTTTTATACGAAGCAACTGGTGCTATGTTTAAAACAATGTTGAGACAAAATATTCCTGATGGTCATATCTAAGAATTTGCTTTTGTGTTAAGTCAAAACCTCGCTACACCAACTGGTACCTACATACTGGTTGAGTAGCCTTTTAGAGTAGATCAACTTCACATTTCCTCATTTTCTACATAGATAAGAGTGGTTGAAACGTCACACACGCAAGAGGAGTGGATTCATTTTAATTTGTACAAGTCCTTCACTTTCAACGGGTGTTTAACATAAACGTTTAAAGGATTAGTTAGTACATTTGTTAATGATATTTTAGCTTCTATTTTCAAATAGTTACAGATCACCAGTCACTAGACCGATAATACGGATGAGCAGTTCGCTATCAAATATGGGGATAAACTCCAGTGAAAAGTTTCGAGTTATTTCCAGTAATTGATAATGAGCACCAAGCAAATAAAACTACTCAGCCATTATCTCCCTAGGGATCAAACCCACGGCCTTGGTGATGCGAACCGACGTCATTAACCCTTGGGAGACTAGAATGGAATCCAGTACCTGTGACCACCAGCTAATATCATCACGAGTATCTTTCCTCACACCAAACTATTCTTTGTTATCATATCAGTCCTTTTAAAGTTACTGTCTACATCTCTATGACGTATATAAAGTCAACAGAATAAACTCTAAAAAGACGGAATTATGCTTATAAAATATCCTATGTAGAAGTTACACCTTTTAAAGGTTGCTATACTAGGTCAGTATTTGAATGACTTCCAGTTAGAATGTGGTTTCAATAAGGATTCCTAAATTCAGTTTTGTCCTCAGCACAGGATTTATTCAACATTTTTATGGTCATAACGTGTCGATGATATTTTATCTAATTGGTATTAATTCAAGATCTCATTTTAGATACAACTACCATTCACGTACACACTGGCTGCAGTTGGAATGCTTCCATTTATTAATAAGTAAATAAGGTTAGTAAAATAATAATTATTATGTTCCCTTGGGCTCCGAGTGGTATGTAGAGCTTCAACAGAATACCTCCACTTTGCCCAATTTTCTGTGGTCCTCTTTAGCTGGTCCCACATTGTACATAGTCTCGAATCTCCTTCTTGCACGACCTCCTGCATGTCACTCTCGGACGCCGAACTCATCGTCTCTTATTCAGGTTCCACTCAACAGGCTGGTGTATGACATCACTCGGTAGTCTCCTCGATGTGTATCCAATCCATCTCCATTTTCTTCTGCAGATTTCTTGAGCAATCGGTTCTTGATTGGTTCGTTCCAGAAGTTTCTTGTTGCCAATTCATTCCGGCTAAATGATCTCCAATATGGACGGAAGGCAGCTGTTGATGACAGTCTGGAACTTGTTAAAAATGCTTTCCATGACGCCCCAAGTTTACGACCTCCACAGAAATAATAATAATCACTTTATTCCACAACAATAACAATTTACAGCATGGAATTTTCAGCGTTTCTTTTACATATTACAATGGTTTTTGCTCTGTTTTAATTATATAAATGTATAAAATTTTAAAAACATTGATAGTTAATAGGAAAAATAAAAAAACCCCAACAAAATACACCATTTCTAGGTCATAGTGAATAATAAATGAATAATATAACAAATCACACATGCAATAATATGCATCATTACATTTTATAGTTTAGTTAATGATTTAAAAGTTGTAAAAGTTCTTTTCTGATATTCGTCTCTTCACACAATACTCGTGCCAAATATGGTACGGTCGAATTTTTATATTTTGTAGTACGAGCATAAATGTTTATGAAATTTCTTCTGGTCTTACCCGAAGAGATACAAGGAAACAAATGTGAATAAAGAGGATGTTCACTATCAGACAAAATAACTTTAGCTAAGTGTTTACAAGAATTCAAGGAGCTGTCACTACGCTGCACCTTCAACGTCTACTTCAGATTCAACAATGAAATCTACAGGCAAACAGATGGCGTAGCAATGGGTTCTCCACTCGGACCACTCCTAGCCGACTGTTTTATGGCCAGCCTCGAAAACAACCCCTTATCATCAACTATCGACGGCATTCATCTCTACAAGAGATACATTGATGATACTTTCATCATTTGTGATGAGAAGCTAGACCTTGAAAACCTACTTCAAATCTTCAACAATGCCCACCCAAACATCAACTTTACACTTGAAACCGAATCCGACGGAGTGTTCCACTTCCTGGACGTCCATCTGACAAGAAATGACAACGACTCTTTGAAAAGGTCCATATACAAAAAGCCTACATGGACTGGACAATTCATCAACTTTCAAAGCTTCGTACCGCTAAGCAGAAAGAGGAACCTGATACACTCTCTTTCCTCGAGGATTCGGAAGATATGCAGCGAGGAAGTAATCGAAGAAGAACTGAGTAATCTCCGAAAAACCCTGGTGGAAAACGGTTTCCCGCCCAGGTTCATAGACAAGAATCTCAAACCTAAGAAGACTTCAGAACAAGTCCAATCCGTCCCAAAGAAAATACTTCTGCTTAATCTAGAATTCAAAGGTGATATCGAAGCGGAAATCCTTCGCAAACGCCTCTCCAAATCGCTGAGGAAAACATACTTCGCCGCAAGCCTACGACTGACGTTTTCCTGCAAGAAACTGTTCAACCAGAACGCT